AGCAATCTACAGATTCAATGCTATCCCTATCAAAATACCAATGACAATTCGTCACAGAAAATAAAAAATCAATCCTAAAATTTCAATGGAACCACAAAAGACCCAGAATAGCCTATCTCTATCCTGAGCAAAAAAAATAAAATTAGAGAAATCTCATTACCTGACTTCAAATTATACTACAGAGCTATAGTAACCAAAATGACAGGGTATTGGCATAACAACAGACATAAAAACCAATAGAACAGAATAGAGAACCCAGGAAAATCCATGCATTTACAGTGAAATTATTTTCGACAAAAGTTATAACAACATACATTGGGGAAAGGACAGTCTCTTCAACAAACAGTGCTTGGAAACTGGATGTCCACACACAAAAAAATGAAACTAGATTGCTATCTCTCACCACATATAAAATTCAAATCAAAATGGATTAAGACTTAAATCTAAGACTTCGAATTATGAAATTCCTACAAGGAAACATTGGGGAAACATTCCAGGGCATTGGAGTGGGCAAATATTTATTGAGTAATACCCTGCAAACACAGGCAACCAAAGCAAAAATGAAAAAATGAGATCACATCAAGTTAAAAAGCTTCTGCACAGCAAAATAAATAATCAACAAAGAGACAACCCACAGAATGAGAGAAAATATTTGCAAACTATCCATGTGACAAGGATTTAATAACTGGAATATATAAGGAGCTCAAATAACTCTATAGGAAAAAATATAATAATCTGATTTTAAACTGGGAAAAAGATCTGAACAGATATGTCTCAAAAGAAGACTTACAAATGGCAAACAGATATATGAAAAGGTGTTCAATGTCATAGATTATCAGAGAAATGCAAATCAAAACTACAATGAAATATCATCCCACCCCAGTTAAAATGGCCTTTATGCAAACAACAAGCAATGACAAATGTTGGTGAAGATTGGAGAAAAGTGAGCCATTATACATTGTTGGTGGGAATGTAAATTGGTACAATCACTGTGGAGAGTAGTTTGGCAGGTGTATTTCGTCACAAGACAGAAATACAGCTACTATATAATCCAGCAGCCCTAGTCCTAGGTATTTAGGATTTTCCTTTCCAAAAGAAGAAAATTGTTATATTGAAGAGATATCTGCACTCCCATGTTTACTGCAGCACTATTCACAACAGCCAAGATTTGCAAGCTACCTAAGTTCCATCAACAGATGAATGGATAAAGGAAATATGATACATAAACACAGCTGAGTACCACTCAGCCATGAAAAAGAATGAGATCCTGTCATTTACAACAAGGATGGAACTATATATCATTATGTTAAGTGAAATAACCTAGGTAAGAAAATACAAACTTCATATTTTTTCACTTATTTGTGGGAGTCAAAAATCAAAACAATTGAACTCATGGAGAGAGGGAGTAGAAGGATGGTTACCAGAGGCTAGGAAAGATTTTGGGGGGTGAGGGAGAAGCAGGGATGGTTAATGGATACAAAAAAATAGAAAGAATAAGACCTACTATTTGCTAGCACAACAGAGTGAGTATACTCAAAATTACTTAACTGTACATTTTTAAATAATAAAATAATATATTGGATTATTTGAAACATAAAGGATAAATGCTTAAAGTGATGGATATCCCATTTACCCTGATGTTGTTATTACACCTAAATATCTCATGTACCCCATAAATATATATACCTACTATGTGACCACAAATTTAAAAATTAAAAATTAAAAAAAAAGAAAGAAAACCTACTACTTTACTCCATGACTCTATTTTTACAGACCAGGAATACATTCTTAATTAGAAAACAATTTTGTTCTACTGTATCCTAATATAGCACAGTTTTCTTCATTCTTTCATTTTCCCTTCTCTATTCCTTTACTGCAAGGGTCCCCAATCCCTGGGCCACGGACCAGTACCCATCTGTGGCCTGTTATGAACCAGGTTGCACCGCAGAAGGTAAGCAGCAGGTGAGCCAGTATTATCACCTGAGCTCCACCTCCTGGCTGATCAGCAGCAGCATTAGATTCTCATAGGAGTACAAACCCTACTGTGAACTGCACATGCAAGGGATCTAGATTGTATACTCCTTGCCTGATAACCTGACATGGAACAGTTTCATCCTGAAACAATCCCCCCAGTGACCATCCTTGGAAAAATTATCTTCCATGCAACTGGTCCCTGGTGCCCAAAAGGTTGAGGAACACTGCTTTACTGTACATAAAGTAACTAGTGTGTGTACACAAATATACTGCATTTTTTTGTTTTCCTATATGGCCAATAGGAGGTTTTGATCGACATCAAATGAAGTTGGGATTAAATAAAAACACTGGTTCTGTGAAAGTACCCACTTTCTCCATTAGAAGCATGCTCATTCAGCTTTTATTTTTATAATTCAGTAAATTATTTTGGCTCTATTTTAACACACCAAAAAAAAAAAAACATAGAAATTCTTCCATGCCTTGTTTGAATTTTAATGTTTCCATTTATCATTGCAAAACCAAGGAAAATTTTACAATTTTTTTGGTATGTAGCTATTCAATGTAGAGCAATCCATCATTTAGTAGAAATAAATAAGTCTAAAAAATAATTACTAGTTTTCCTTTTGAATTATGACTCTTGTGTTTAAATAAACTTCTTTAACATGAAAGCAAACAAAAGGTTGAAGTACATAAATATAGACAAGGAAAGAAATGTATAAAGTATGATACCAATTATGAAAAAAGATATTTATAGTGTCATACAAAAGACTGGAAGGATAAACAAATACTAAAGACTGGCAATCATTGGGAGTAGAATTACAGGGAAGAGTAAAGAACATGGCCTTTCATTTTCTACATGATATATTTTTATATTTTAATGCTTTTAATAACCAGTGACATAGCAAAGATTTATTCATTTGAAAAAGAAAAGAAAAAAACTTGGTTGCAATATTGAAACGGATCTCTAACTCCTTTCTAGTGATACTTTATAAATCATAAGAAGGCATCCTGGAGATCAATACTACACACCGTCCCTTCCAATCACATGTGGGAAAATGCACTCCAAGATGAAACCATAACCTCCCACTAAGGTATCAGGTGAGATGATTTACAGTGAAAAGACTATGAACCATAAATACACAAGAGTTAAAAGATCTTTGTGGGTGTTTAGAAAATTTTTTTTTCTATTTTACACTTATTTACAGACATCCTCCAAAAAAAGGTTTTTTAAAATGCTCACAGGAAGAAACCATAAAGAGAAACAACCTATCATTTAAACAGCTACCGCGGAATTGGTCTTTCTGAACACTGCCTATCAGTGATAGATTCTTCTACAAATGTTTAAATCAACATAAAAGTGGCCTCAGAAAGTTAGGTGTATTGGTAGATGAAAGGCACATTTACAATGCATATATCCAAAGGATGTGTGTGCCCTAATTTTAATCTAGAAAAATAAGACTGGTTATTAAAAAGTATTACTTACTTTTACAAATAACAGGTCCTGGGGTTAGGCTAGAGATTTGGAAGAGGAGAAAAGCCATATGGGTAGCACTTCAATACCTCCGTTGCCCTTTCTTTTTTTTTTTTTTTTTTTTTTTTTTTTTTTTTTGACACGGAGTTTCGCCCTTGTTACCCAGGCTGGAGTGCAATGGCGCGATCTCGGCTCACTGCAACCTCCGCCTCCTGGGCTCAGGCAATTCTCCTGCCTCAGCCTCCTGAGTAGCTGGGATTACAGGCACATGCCACCATGCCCAGCTAATTTTTTGCGCTTTTAGTAGAGACGGGGTTTCACCATGTTGACCAGGATGGTCTCGATCTCTCGACCTCGTGATCCACCCGCCTCGGCCTCCCAAAGTGCTGGGATTACAGGCTTGAGCCACCACGCCCGGCCCTCCGTTGCCCTTTCTAGGAATCTTAAGCATCTTCTGGAAGCTATGATCCCCACGGTGGTCCCTAATCTAACAGACCCTAATAAACTAAGTCTGTGTAAAATTAAAGAACAAGACTAAGGATGAAAAGGTAAGTTAATGAAATGGTGATCAGCAAGTCCTTGAATAACTTCATTTCAATATTGATTTTTAAAAAATCAATTCCCAGCCAGGCGTGGTGGCTCAAACCTGTAATCCCAGCATTTTGTAAGGCTGAGGCAGGTGGATCACGAGGTCAGGAGTTCGAGACCAGCCTGGCCAATATGGTGAAACCCCATCTCTACTAAAAATACAAAAATTAGCCGGGCATGGTGGCTCACACCTGTAGTCCCAACTACTCAGGATGCTGAGGCAGAACAATCACTTGAACCCGGGAGGTGGAGATTGCAGTGAGGTGAGATCGTGCCACTGAACTCCAGCCTGGGCAACAGAGCAAGACTCCATCTCAGAAAATAAAAAAAAAAAAAAATCAACTCCCAGCTGGGGCCACTGTCTGTGAAATTTCCATGCGCTCCCCATATCTGTATGGGTTTCCTGCAGGTACTCCAGTGTCCTCTCACATCCCAAAGATGTGCATGTTAGGTTCACTGACATGTCTAAATGGTCCCAATACAAGAGTGAGAGAGAGAGAGAGAGAGTGTGAGTGTGTGTGTGTGTGTGTGTGTGTGTGTGTGCGCGCACACACACACACTCTTCAATGGAATGGCCTCCTGTCCAGGGTTGGTTCCTGCCCTGAGCCCTGAGCTGCCAGGATAGGCTTTGGTCACACTCAACCCTGAAGTGGAATAACTGGGTAAACAATTATGTTACTTGTTTCTATTAATCTTTCTTAAATATATGTATAGCTCACATTTATTTCCATGTTTAATATCAGAAGTGTTTTGGTGTTTATTTAGAAGTTTGGTGATGTTCTTATGGCCAGAAATATGCTATAGAAACTTAACTGTTATTTATATCCATTAGCTGATGGCAAAATTGGTTTCCTTATAATTAATTTTGCTTAAAGACTCAGTTTCCAAGAACCTAGCAATAACATTAAATGAGGACTTACTGGGAAACTAAAGGGAAAGAATAATTAACAAAAAGAATCATTCTCACCTTTGCACATTCCTCTTGTATCAGGATGCAGACTGAACTGATATCTAAGAGATGTGTCTTGATCAAATAACAACCTTTCAAATACCAAAAGAGAAGGCATAAGTTGTTAATGTATCTTAAACGAAGAGTAACATTTTAACCATCATTTTTATTATACCGAAACTTGTTAAAATTCTTAGTTATACCACTATTAATGTTTCTATTTCAAAGTGTTATTTCAGAAATGTATAATTTGATTGAAAACATATCCAAGATGAAAAAGAAAAACTCATGTATATAGTCATGTTAATTTCACAAATATTCTGTTATCATTTTTTAATATTTGGGAATAAGGGACAAATATCACTGTCCCAAGTCTAATAAATCTTAATAACTTTTTGAAAAGAGATAAACTGAGATCATTTGAGGGACCAGCGCCAGTGGGTTTTTTTTCCCTTCACATTTCTTTATACCAGAGAACTTGAGATTAAAATCCTGGGATTATATCTGAGTTTATATTTTCATAGTATGCACTGTCAGAATTCCTTTATTTATTTATTTATTTTGAGACAGGGTCATTCTCTGTCACCCAAGCTGTAGTGCAGTGGCATGACCCTGAGTCACTTCAAACTCCTAGGTTAAAGAGATCCTCCTGCCTCAGCTTCCGAAATAGCTGGGACTACAGGTGTACACACCACTATGCCTGGCTATTTTATTTATTTATATATATATATATATTTTTTTTTTTTTGTAGAGTCAGGGTCTTATCATGTTGCCCAGGCCAGTCCTGAACTCCTGAGCTTAAGTGATCCTGCCTTGACCTCCCTAAACGCTGGGATTACAGGAATAAGCCACTACACCTGGCCCAGAATTCCTTTAATTTTTTTATTTACTTCTTATTATGTTCAAGGGAGCATCATGGTAACAAAGAGAGAAGATACATAATCCTCGCCCCCTAGAAGCTCCAAATGTAGTAAGGAATATAGAGCTATGAAAATAACCATGATATGCCATGAGTATGCTACTAGGCAAACTTAAATATTTATCTTTTCTGTTTAATATTTATCTTATTTTTATCTTTTCTGCCCAATGAGCAGAAAATGGACAAAAAAAAACTTGAATAGACATTTCTGCAAAGAGGAAATACAAATAGTCAACAGGTACCTGAAAAGATGTTCAGCTTCACTAATCATTAGGGACATGGAAATCAAAACCACACTGAAATACCACCTCATAGCTCACTGCAGCCTTGTACTCCTGGACTCAAGGCGTCTTCCTGCTTCAGCCTCCTGTGTAGCTGGGATTATAAGCATGAGTGACAGTATCTGGCTTAATTTTTTATTTTTCATACTCATGCCTGTTTATGAAAAATAAAAAATTAAGCCAGATACTGTCACTCATGCTTATAATCCCAGCTACACAGGAGGCTGAAGCAGGAAGACGCCTTGAGTCCAGGAGTACAAGGCTGCAGTGAGCTATGATCAGGCCATAGCACTACAGCCTAGGTGACGAAGTAAGACACTATCTCTAAACACACACACACACACACACACACACACACACACACACACACTTTCTAATAGTTTTCAGCATCAGCAAAATTGACAATGAAAAGGACTCCAGTCCTTAACTTTTCTATTATAACACACCCTCTGTGAGGTGCTATAAGAAGCCTCCTGCTATAAGAAGGAAAGTGTTTTCTTGGCTCTTTACTACTGACCATTAATAAGAATTAAAAATTAATTATTAGAATAAAATTATGCCATTGCTATAGTGCTTTTTTCCAAGAAGTAAAACCATCTATTAATGTTTCTCCAAGAAGTAAAATAATCTATTTATATCCCTAAAAGGGTAAGTTTACTTCTTAAGATGTTGTGAAGTTGCTTTGTTGTTTTGTTTTTCAGACACAGTCACTCTGTTGCCCAGGCTGGAATGAAGTGGCATGATCTCAGCTCACTATCACCTCCACCTCCCAGGTTCAAGCGATTCTCCTGCCTCAGCCTCCGGAGTAGCTGAGATTATGGGTGCCTGCCACTAGGCCTAGCTAATTTTTGTATTTTTAGTAGAGATGGGTTTCACCATGTTGGCCAGGCTGGTCTAGAACTCCTGACCTTCCAGTCTCAACCTCCCAAAGTGCTGAGATTTGAGGTGTGAGCTACTGCACCCAACAAAATTTTGTGAGTTTTTTTTTTTAATTTAAAAATAACGCAAAAGGGGTATGGAGAATTTGGGGGGGTGGTAATGACACTATTCTATATCTTGATTGTAATAGGAGTTACACAATTATGTTTGTCAAAACTCAGAACTGTACACTTAAAAAGGTGAACTTTATGTAAATTGTTCCTGGAAGGGTGACAGAATATGCCACCCCAAAATAAGCCACTGTGACATATGGATTACTCTGAGCTAAAGGAAACTTGAATAACAGCAGATGCCTCCCTTTTTCTTCTTGAAAACAGGAGATAAAAACTCCTGTGTAAAAGATGCCCTCCCTACAGAAAGAGAAAAGAAATATTTTTCAATAGCCAAGATAATTCTGTACAAACAGAACTTGTTAAAATAATTCTATCTTCCTTTAGCCTCCCAACATAATTTAGTCAGCTTTCCACAACTGCCTCTCTTTGTTGAACCTAATACAAAAGCATACAGCCTTTGCCATTTCTTTTCTTATTTTTTTCAAGATGGGAGTCTAGCTCTGTTGGCCAAGCTAGAACGCAGTGATGCGATCTCAGCTTACTGCAACCTCCACCTCCCAGATTCAAGGAATTCTGCCTCAACTTCCTAAGGAGCTTGGACTACAGGTACATACTACTATGCCTGGTTAATTTTTGCATTTTTAATAGAGACAGGGTTTCACCATGTTGGCCAGGCTGGTCTCAAACTCCTGACCTCAAGTGATCTGCCCACCTTAGCCTCCCAAAGTGCTGGGATTACAGGCATGAGCTACTGTGGCTGACCAGGTTTTGTCATTTATTTAAGTCTTCATTTCCTTTCCTTTATTTCCTGTGTCACATAAAACTTATTTTAAATTTACCTAAGTTTTAATATTTAAAGTATTTAATCTATTTCATATCAATTTAATCCTTAGGCTCAACCAGGACGCTGTGAGAGGAGAGGCAGAATTTCTGCCCCTACTTAAAATCTTAATTAAAAATGAAAAAAACTAATATAAATATGTTAATATTCTAATATGTAAACATAAATATTTAACATTATGCCAATAAAAGTACCAATAAGGGCTAGGTATGGTGGATCACGCCTGTAATCCCAGCACTTTGGGAGGCCAAGGTGGGGAGATCACTTGAAGTCAGGAGTTTGAGAACAGCCTGCTCAACATGGTGAAACCCCATCTCTACTAAAAATACAAAAATTAGCTGGATGTGGTTCCAGCTACTCGGCTGGCCCAGACAGGAGAATGGCCGGAACCTGAGAGATGGAGGCTGCTGTGAGCTGAGATCGTGCTACTGCATTCCAGCCTGGGTGACAGAATGAGACTCCATCTCAAAAAAAAAAAAAAAAAAAAAAGTCCTCTTTCCTAAAGAATTTATTTTTACAAACCCCAGCAATTTATGTTTAAGGAAATTATCTCTGAATTATTTACCATAACAAAAAGTTAAAAACTATATTTTGTTTTAGAATAGTATAATGCTTCAATAATGATATACCTCTACAGCCTTGCTTTGCGAAAGGCCATCCCTCCTCTAGTAGTACCAGCTTTAACCTGGAAGTTTGTTAGAAATGCAGAATCTCAGCTCTTACCCCAGAACTCCTGAATTGGCATCCACATTTTTATAAGATTCTGGAGGGATTCATAAGCATATTAGAAAATTGAAAGTCTAGTCTAGGGCGTGCCAGAAAGAATGAAAATCGAATTATGGTGCTGCTCTTCCACTTGAAACCTTACGAGTACCCTACCAGGACATATGCAGGATGTACAAGATCTTACGCGACCTCACCCTATTTTGCTCTGCAGGCTCATCTTTGCATGCTCAACCTCACATTTTACACTTCAATAAAATTTAACTGTTTGTACATGCCAACACACATAACACAATGTTATGTCCCACTGCTACACCTTTACCCATGCGGTTCCCTTGGCCTAGAATACCTCCCTCTCCTTTATTTGGCTAATTCCTCACCAACCTACCTTCAAGCCTCTATTCAGGAGTCAACTATAGCAAACTTTGATGACCACTTACTTAGGTTGAGGTAAGAGTCCCTTTGGGCTCCTAAACCACCCTGGACACACTTCCATCCTTGAATTTCCCACATCACATTGAAATTATCTGTGCTCAAGTGTTTTTGCTGGCCTGAAGGTTTCTCAAAGGCAGTAGCCTCATCCCTGCCCTCTTTTCCCTGTGTCTAGCAGAGAATAAAGGCTTTGATAACCTGAAATATCGACTTTTTTTGGATCCGTATAAAACTATTTGTTTCCAGTTTGGTAGGGACCAGTTTCCCCATCACACATTCTTTTCTTGAGAGAAATTGTTACCCAATTCCTAGAGCTGAGCTGCAAGTCACTTGAAGCAAAATGCAGTTAAGTTCAGACCTAAGTAGATCTTTCTGGCTTGTGCCAAAAGACTTAAAGCCCCCTCCCCCTCCCCCAAAAGGAAAGGCTTTTGAAAAATGCTGTAAGGCCACCTACTACAAACTTCATCTTGTCCCCAGCTGGGTCGGGGGCAGGTGGGGACAAACTGCGGTTGCTTCGTTACAAGCCCTCGGCTCAGGCCTGGCTGCCCACGAGGCTCTGGTCCCGCCCACAAGCACACGTTCTGGTCGCGACCTCTCCTCAAAACTCCGACCCCCTGAGAGAGCACCCGGGCCGCCCCGGCGCGAGGGCTCAGGCACTGCGGCCCTAATGGTGGTCACCTTCTCCAGGGCAGCTCCTCTTCTTCCAGGTCGCTCTCCGTCACTGAACCCTCTATCACGGTTTCATCACTGTCCCAGTCTGGGGCCTGGACGCCTTCCTCCATCTTTGCCTAACATTCAAAGTCTTTTTAGCCCTCCTCTAACTCCCTCTCGCCCGCAAACAGAAAGAATGCTTTGAGGGCCAGGGGAAATGGTGAGTTAAAAATTTAAAAAAATATAATATAATCGCAGCAGGAGTCGGGCCTCGTGGCTGGGCTGCTGAGGAGCGTGTGGCGGGATCGCCGTCTGGGAGGCAGCCCGCGGGTTCCGCCGCACGCCGCAGGCAGGGGGCAGCCGCGCGCCGCACGCCGGAGCCCTGGCACGCGCTCGGCCCCGCCCCCAGCTCGCGGAGTGGGCGGCCGCGCGAGCCGGCCTGCTCTGGGCGTGGCCCGCCGCCTGCTGTCGCCTTCGCGGTTTTCCATCCTGGTTCGCTAGACCTAGAAGGAATTGGGATTGCTGCTGCGCGGACCCGAAAGGCAGGCGTGCCGCACCCAGAACTCAGGCCGAGCCTGCTTATCGCCCTTGGCCGGGAGGGTGACCTGCCACGCACCTGGTGCGTGTGAGCCCCCGGCACCGGAAGAGCAGTCAGCTCCTGCCCGGCCCAGCAGCCCTGGCATTCTGAAGCCAGAATGTGACCTTAGACCTAATGAGTGTTTTTGCAGCCCACCAAGCGCTTCCTTTCCCTTCAATCCCTTGACAGCCTCTCCTCAAGTGTCCCATGAGGTAGACAAAACATATGTTGAAGCTCATCAGCTAGCTCAGTGGTGTGTTTTGTATTTGTTTTTTTCTCTCAACAACTCTTTGGTCACCTGCAATATAGATTACGCAGGAAAGGCAAGATGAATGCTTAATTTTTCCCCTTTTATCAATGTTAGCATAATAGTAATGCCTAGCAACCTCCAAAAGTAGTCAATTGTGTTTTATGAAGTACTAGAATTTTATGTTTGATGTGTTTCAATATGTTTGAACACTTTTAATTCAAACTAAGTGTTTGAGTTTGAATTGAAAGTGTTAAGCGAGTTTAACCAAGCCAAGTGAGCTTCCACTTGCCAAGTGAGAAAAAGATTCAAGAAAAGATCAAGTTGTTTTCCCATAGCAAGTGTTTAGTATTCACCTTGGAGTCTCCAGCATCTAGCACATATGAAGTCTAAGTTTTGTCATAAATGGATGGAGGTAGAGTTTTCTGACTGCCCAATTCATTACCCTTTTCACTATATGGAGTAGCTTTGCCATTATTATTATTATTATTATTATTTTGTGTTTTTACTATTTATACTTAAGTCACTGCTAGTTAAAATCATTAGTTGGTGGTTATCTTCTAAACTTAACTTGAGGCTGAGGGTGGTGGCTTATACCTATAACCCCAATCCATTGGAGGCCAAGGCAGGAGGATTGCTTGAGGCCAGATGTTCAAGACCAGCCTGGGCAACATCCTATCTCTACAAAAAAAAAAATTTATTTTTAATTAGCAGGGCATGTCAGCATGGACCTGTAGTCTCCTGTACTCAGGAGGTTGAGGTGGGAGGATCGCTTCAGCCCAAGAGTTTGCGGTTACAATGAGCTATGATTGAGCAAATGCACTCCAGCCTGAGCAACAGAGTCATATTATGTCTCAAAAATAAAATAAAATAAACTTACTTGAATATTCCTCACCTCAACTATGTAAATTAGGCAGAACAATAATAAATAATAAATATGCAAAGAACTAGACCTCTTTCTTTTTTACAGTAGTCTATTTATATCCTCCATGTCTAAATCAGACCTAAATTTCTATCACCTTTCCTGCTCACCCATTGTTTAACTAACTCATTAGTTCATTCTTCTGTGTTGCCCAAGCTGGTGTCCAACTCCTGGGCTCAAACTGTCCTCCCACCTCAGCCTTCCAAACAGCTAGAAATACAGTCTCATGCCACTATGCCCACTTTACCCACTGTTTTTAGTCGTCCAGCTCTGCTTTCACAGGAATTGGGGGATCATACCCCGTAAGTAATGGTGAGTGGCTCCATTTGCCCCACAGTGAAAGATGACTCCACTAATAACAGCACTTGCTCCTAACAGCTGGTAGCAAGCTAAGTACAGTAAGTCCTCACTTTATGTTCGTTGGTAGGTTCTTGGAAACCGTGACTTTAAGCAAAATGAGTTATAAGAAAACCAATTTTACCATAGTCTAATTGATACATTTGGTCACAAAAACATTACCAAACTTTTAAATAACACAAAAACACCTTTAATATTAAACATTGAAATAAATGTGAGCTATACATATATTTAAGAAAGATTAATAAAAACAAATAAGGTAATTATTTACCCAGTTATTCCAGTTCAGGGTTGAGGGTGGGTGGAGCCTATCCTGGCAGCTCAGGGCTCAAAGCAGGAGCCAACCCCACACGGGAGGCCATTCCATTGTAGAGCACACACACACACACACACACACACACACACTCTCTCTCTCTCTCTCTCTCTCTCTCACACACACACACACTCATTCTGAGACCGTTTAGACAGGCCAATGAGCCTTACATACACATCTTTGAGATGTGGGAGGAAACCAGAATACCTGGCGGAAACTCACGCTGACATGCGGAGAACATGCAAATTCCACATACACAGTGGCCCTGGCTGGGAAGTATAATAATTTTCTTTTTTCATCAGTGTTGAAACACCGTTGAAAGAAATGTTATTCGAGGATCTGCTATGAAAAACTTCTGAGCCTGAAATTTCACATTCTTTTTAAAAATGCTAAAATCATTCATTGAAATGATGATGGGGAATTTTATAATAAATGGATCAGGTTGGCAACACTTAAACCCACTGATCAATCTTAACATCACTAAAAGTAAGACTCCCAGATATGCCCCTCCTGTCATAACACAATAGGAACATATAGCACTACCTATGAAGTATTCTAGGCCAAAAAAAAAAAGTTAAAAATCTAAATTTAATCAAGCCTCTAGATCTAACTACCAGTTATTTATAAAAGGCAGGGTAGAGAAATCTGTAAAACAATATAAAAGGATAAAATTAACAGAATTCAGAATGTGGGAAACTCTACAGGACAAATACACTTCCCAAAAGAATCACTATCTCAAAGACTTAGACTTTTTTAAATAAAAATAAGTTAGTCAAGGTATCCTCCTGCTTCAACCTCCCGAGTAGCTGGGACAAATGTGTACCACCACTTCTTCCTAGAACTGTAAGAGATGAGACTTTCATGGAAGACTTGATTTATCCTAAGTATAACACAATATGAATCTCTAAGAGACTAAATCCAACAGCACTTTTCACCTTAGTAATATTTCTCTCCAAAATAAAGCTATATGTAGTATTTCACCAAGGATTCAATGATAAGTATTTCAAAATACACTTTCCCAGCAGGGCACAATGGCTTATGTTTGTAATCCCAGTACTTTGGGAGGCAGAGGTGGGAGGATCACTTGAGCTGAGGAACCTGGGCAACATAGAGAGATGCCCATTACTACAAAAATAAAAATAAATAAGCCGGAAGTGGTGGCACACGTCTGTCACAGCTGTTTGGGAGGCTGAAGCAGGAGGATCCCTTGAGGCCAGGAGTTGCAGTGAACTATGATTGTGCCACTGCGCTCCAGCCTGGGTAACAGAGTGAGACCCTGTGTCAAAAAAAAAAAAAAAAACAACACTTTCCAAAAGAATCATTTTCTCAAAGATTTACACTTTTTTTTTAAATAGAAATAAGTTACTGATCCATTAACCCAAGCAATTCACATGTTTAGCACAAATTGAAACTGTCATGTAAACTTTTTAAATGAATGGGAATAAATATGTAACAAACATCAAGATATGTGAAATATTTTCACAAAAACTGCAAAGTTTTGGAGCACACAAAGGCAAGTTTACGTTAGGTGTTGGTTAAGTACCTAAATTTGTTTTTATATTTATTTATTTATTTCTAAGACGGAGTTTCACTCTTATTGCCTAGGCTGGAGAGCAATGGTGCAATCTTGGCTCACTGCAACCTCCACCTCCTGGGTTCAAGTGATTCTCCTGCAAGTAGCTGGGATTAAGGTGTGTGTATTTTTTTAATAGAGTTGGGGCTTCACCATGTTTGCCAGGCTGGTCCCAAACTCCTGGCCTCAGGTGACCCGCCTGCCTTGAGCTCCCAAAATATTGGGTTTACAGGGGTGAGCCATTGCACCAGCCTTAAATTTACTTTAGCAGTCATTAAAGCTAACTCATATGTGTGGTTATAAGCCAGCCACAACTCCTATAGGCCATCCCTTCTTCGTGCAGAATTTAATAAGGTCAATTTTACTTTAAATGGCATAAAATGATATAAAACACTTTAGAAACTTTCAAGAACTGTAACCGCCCAATGGGTTCTCCTTGCCTGCTGCCTAGACAGTGCCACTTTATCAAGACAGGGGAATTGCAATGGAGGAAGAGTCACGAAGAGCCAGCTGTGCAGGAGACTGGAGGTTTATTATTACTCAAATCAGTCTTGCCGAACATTTAGGGATCAGAGTTTTTAAAGATAATTTGGTAGACAGGAGCTTGGGCAGTGGAGAGTGCTGGTTGGTCAGGTTGGAGTTGGAATAATTGTGGGTGGAAGCGAGGTTTTCTTGCTGTCTTCTGTTCCTGGGTGGGATGGCAGAACTGGTTGAGCCAGGTTATTGGTCTGGGTGTTGTCAGCTGATCCATCAAGGGCAGGATCTGCAAAATATCTCAAGCACTGATCTTAGGTTTTACAATAGTGATGTTATCCCCAGGCTGCATGACCCCTAAATTGTAATTTCTAATCTTGTAGCTAATTTGCTAGTCCTAAAAAGACAGAGTGGTCCCCAGGCAAGAAGGTGGTTTTTCAGGATAAAGGTATTTTCAATTTTGTTTCAAACCATGAACTGAATTCCTTCCCAAAGTTAGTTTGGCTTACACCCAGGAATGAACAAAGACAGCTTAAAGGTTAGAAGCAAGATGGAATTGATTAGGTCAGATTTCTTTCACTGTCATAATTTCCTAAGTTATAATTTTGCAAAGGCGGTTTCAGTACTGTGAAATTTCAGCTGATAGCCTATATATAATTAGTATTTCC